CATTCATCAGTGGGCCTACATTGCCTCTTACCACTAAGTCTTTTTCTATAATTGTAATTATTTAAATTCTCCTTTATAATCCCCATGATCTAAAACAGGCAAGTCTTCTCTTGGTGTATCCATGAAAATAAGCATCTTCAAAGGCTTGTGTATGTTAAGCCTTTGTTGAATTTAACTGTACACAACCTTAGTATTCCCTGCAAATCTGCTCTTGCATCTTTGCAGGATCAGTTGGCGAACTCCTCTAGGATCTTTAACAAAAAAGGTACCATGTGAAGAGATCCAGAACTAGGTATCTCTGCTGGGAACTTTGTCATCTGCCTCAGTCAAAGCAGGTTTTTAATTTATTGATGCAGCCCAAGTACAGTTTCTTTGGAGGAAAGCAAGCACTCGCTGCATTATGGAAGCTCAGAGAAGTACAACCCCCCTTATTTAAACAGAGAGAACATTACTAAGCAATATTTAACTAAGGTTGGTTTAAATAAGGATGTATCATAAAAGAAACTTACCATCCTCATGCAATTCAGTTCCTTGCAGTGCACCAGAACCAGCCTCTTGAACTGGGAAATAGTACTGTACGTAGCAGTCAGCCTCTCCCCAGACGGTCGACTGTAAGGGAGTGAGTCCTTTCACGCTCTCCACGTGGATCTCAAACACGTGCTCCATCAGGTCTTCCCCTTCTTGGTCTAACTGCTAATAAAACAAAGGAAATCCACATGGAAAGGATGACTCTTGAGCAAACAGCATACAAGAGGACTGGGAACATGGGAATCTAAGAAGCCTGAGATGGGGGAAGAACCACTATCTGCCATCTTCCTCCTGAAGTTCACAGAAACGTCTAAAGTCTGATAGCATTTTTTTTCCTGCAAATGCCAAAAAAGACAGCACATAAATAGCACGAAAATTCCTACCTATCCAGCTCAAAGGTAGTGGCAAAACCTGTATGGTACAGAATAAGGCTGTGAGAATTAAGATTTTCTAGAATTTGGTTGGGGTTTTTTTACCGCACTTGTTATGTACATAGAAGCAGTGGATATGCAGGGCAATAAAAAGAGCAATATAGAAAAGTTAAGACTGGTGAGGGAAAGCGGGTAAGAGAAGATTACAAACAATATAATTCTGCATAGAACATGATCATTTGTAACAAAATTGGCTACAGCATTAAAAGAGACTGGGGACCACTGGTCTGTTAATGAACCCACTGGTAAAATCCTTTTCACGTGTCCCTAGCAGCAAGTAGGAAAATTTACTGAACAATACCATTGCAGGCTTTATAGAAGGAGGGTCCAGAGAGTGAGAAGGGCGCTGTGTGATGGGAGGTACCATTCCTTCTTCATTTTTTAGCCTTTGCAGTGCCACTATTTGATCTGCTGACCCCATCGCCAGAATGACCCTGAGGCTTCCACTTCTACTGCCAGTAAAAACATCTACTACAGGCATATAGCTGTCCACAGCCACCACTGGATATTGAGCTTGAAGAAGAAGGTAGGAAATCTTTGGATCTCTAGAACAGATTAAAACAAACAAACAAAAAGCCCCAGTATGAGAATGAGCCATCTGAATATGAACATGATCACACAAAGCTCATTTTAGGTGGGACTTTCAAGGCAGTTAGAAACCAAGCCATCTCTGTTCCTCCAAAATCCATCTCAATAACATCAGTCTTCACAAAGCACAGATCCATGGGCTGTTTTCAGCAACGAGAAAGCACAGCTCTCCGAAAACTAACATGGCCTTAGCTATAAGCCAGCCTAGAAATCTGTGAGGGAAGTTATGAACTGGAACAAAACCGCTATTAATATACTATAGCCATATTATAGCTTTATGAGGCAGTTTTGTGCCCTTGGGGATGGACTTGGGCAGGAAGAAAAGAAGGAACAGTGACAGACTCCTAGAGAAATGCAAAAACCTCTAATCATACATGGAAGATACACACAAGAAAAATATAATAGATTACTGAAAAATTACACAAATGACACATTAATAATTAAAAAAAGTAATGGCCAGTCAGTTCCAGCACTGATTTCCACCTATCACTAGTCTGATCAAAATAAGAGGAATTAATCCTTTGCATTAGAAAGGATCTCTTCTGTCCAGTATTTCCCTCAATTTAAATTGCTTTCAGCAGGTATTTAATTGAACAAGACGCTGAAACACTGAACCAGTAAGAAAAGAGACCTCTGGACAGACCTTTCATGTAAGACAATGAGAATATGAAGTATTAGAGACATTTTTGATACCACAAGCCTTATCCTTTGCTGTACAAACTGACAGCACCCTCAGTGACGAGATCCATACAGAGCCTTAAGCAGGAACAAAATCACTCAATCATTCGTAACCTTGGAAAATCATCAGTGGAAAGCCACACTTCCTTTTCCTGTGTAGTATCTTTGATCTCTTATAATTTTACTTCTTCACAGGACCTGGCTCCAAGCCTGATGCAGCACAGTCTCTTTATTTCTCACGGTCTACTTGCATTTCTGTACAAGGACAGTGTAACTTACTCGTATACTGCTCAGTGTAGGATGTGCCAGAGGAAGCTTGGCAGGACAAAAAGGCCCTTGACTATCACATATAATTACAAACTCTTCCATGCAAACCCTTCCCTTCTTTCTCTGAGCATCAGTGAGGATATTTTCCAACCTAATAAAATATGGAAGAAAGTTGTTTACTTGAATGAGATGTAAAACTGATGCAGAGGAAGTTTCACTAATCCTAGCAGTCTGTCACAGCCAGGGCTTCCTATTTTGTTCCAAGCTTCAATAATCATGACATTGTTCTTCAGCCGCTCCAAGTGTTTGGAAGTCAATGAAAAAGGCATCACCTGAATGAGTTTAATGCAGAATTAGTACACAGAACACACTGAAAGCTATTTACTAAGTAATGCTGGTAATGCTGTATTATTCCAGTCTACAGAATTGTGCTCTTCAGAAACTAAAACTAAACGGAAATTAAAAATAAAATGCATACTTGTCTAACAAGTTTCAGAAAACTGGTAGTCTTGGAAAACAGCAAGCCAGGAAAATAAATTCAATTTAGATAAATTTCAACATAAGATCATAGGATATCTTAAAAAACATTACTTTTATCTTTAAACACCTGTTTACTAACCAACAGATAAATAATTTCAGACAAATGTTTCGGGTGTTTTTTGCTATGTTTTAACATTTCACTCCCAGTTGAAGACTAAGGACTCTCACAAATCACGAGGTATTGTTAAAATTAAACCAAATCTGAGCATCCTGACATTTCTGACAAAAAATGTCAGTAAAAAAAAAACCAAACTCATAACATTATTAAATGCCTGAGATCCTGCTGTTTGCTGGGGGAAAGCTCTGGCCCATATTAGGACAGAAACTCACATTTCTGTGCTGATAAATCCATTGAGAAGAAAAACACCAAGCAATGGAACAAAAAAAATTCTACACCTACATATTAGGATGCCATGAAGATGCCATCAACAAGGTGTTTCCTTGCCAAAATGAAAGAAAAGAGATGTCACCTTTTTTTAAGTTTTAAGCTAAACTTTTCTGACTATTTCTCTTTTGTAATTCAAAAATCTCACTTATTATTTGGATGATTCAAGGAACTGCATTTCAAACTGTGTAATGCTGCCAAAACAATATTGATAATACTTTTAATACACCAGACAGAGTCAAGCAGAGAAGCTCCTGCATATATAAAAGTAACCGATCTTTGAAATATGTTTGTCAGTGCAGAATGTCAGTTAGTGTTAAATGTGACTTGCCTGACAAAAATTAAAGGCAGGTTGTGTTGTGCCCCATACAACAGCAGATCTCGTTGCCTCCTCGGTGCTGAGCAGCTTGCAGTTTAAATACACATTACAAGAACCATGGAGCCCATAGTCTTCAGCAAGAAAATCCTTTCCATCAGGCACCATCAACAGCACGTGCAGTAATAACCCAGCCTCTTCAGATGCAGTTATTTGTGTCATCAGATTACGCACTACAGAGGGTGGTACAGCCTGCGGTGGCTGCACGACACTTATGCCGGCTGCTCCTGTCTTCCATGAGTCTTCACAGTTGCGAGGTTTCAAGCAGCGAGGGCTTTCTGCATTTATACTTCTCCTGTTGGGCTCCTGTAATTCCAGCTGGGGACTTCGTATGGCGTGAGCTGGGACTCGCTGTGCAGCCACAGCTGACCTGGCCGTGGTGCAGGTAAAGTCTTTGTTGTCAGCGGCAAGCTCTAAGGATACCTGCATTGTGCAAGGCAAAGTGGGCTGATCAGAAGACGTGCCTCATACAAAGACAATAGACTGCAATGTAAACTCAGGAAAATGCCTTGCATGCTTTGTTCAAGAACTGTGTTAAATCATCACGCAGAAGGCTTACCAGACACACACTGGTTGCAATCTACAACTGTCATTGCAAAATCAACTACAAGAAGTTTTATTGAAGTTGTAACTCAAGTACAAAACCATACAATTACAGCTGAACAAAAGAAAAAAATAAAATCAATCACAAAGCTGCTTTAGAAAAATGATGAAAACGAAGGGTTTCTCTCTAAATGTTTTCTTTCACTGCTTTTTCACTTCTACAGTCCCTGCTGATTTTAGCTGTCCCTAACTCCTTCTGTGGGCTCCTTCTTTTTCTCTTCAGTGGTCTACATATCCCACTGCATTTGTCTTCTTTTTTTTTCTGAGGTTGGGTTTTTTGGGGGTTTTGTTTTGGTTGTTTTTTTTAACACTCTGTCCTACATCTGAATTGCCTCTTCATTTTGTCAATATTTGCAAGAGAAAGAGTTTGCTTGGTATGAATGAAAATGCATGTGTGAAAGCAATGAAAGAAACACCAGAACAAGGGGTAAAGGAACTGCAAGTGTTAATTGCTACTGAGCATCTTACATCTGCTGGATTCATTCACATTACAAGACAGCCACAAGGGGAAGAACAAACTGAAGCCCAGAAGATAAGGTAACAGGATAAAGAAAAGTGACTGGAGCCATAAAATGACCTCGTAAGGAAAAGAAAATAATCAGACTCAAGAATTTTTGCGCATGACTTAGGAGGGATGAGACAAGATATTGCAGAAAAGATCCCAAACAGTATCTACTCCTAAAGGATTTAAAGAACACGTCCAAAGATGAAGAGTTCAAGACTATCTGTCAGAAAGAACCCAAGAAATGCAAAGTGGACTCAGTAGCTGACATCCCTTATCCCCCATTCCCTGGCCAGAATAGCAGGATACACATGCATTGCTGAGAGGTAGGTATTACACTGAGTGTGTGAAATCTAAGAGACAGGGTGACCAAAATCAGTTTTTTTAAGCATTAGCTTCCCCATCCTTAAGTTCTCACATTGAACTTCAGTTCATTAATTTCCAACACCACCTCCTTCAACTCCTCTCACTCCCCGTTCTACTCCATCCTCTCCCCTGACACATGCATTTTCTCCTCCCTGCTTTCAATTAACTCCTCCCACACCTAACCTCTACATTTTATGTTTCACCCTTTTGCAGCTCCTCTACTAGCACCTCTGCTGAATGGCTTCTCTGGAAGAAGTTTCATGGCCCCTGTGACAGAGAACATTGCTCATCCTGTGAATGACAACATGACAGAAGCAATCCATGCTCACACTCTCAGGGAATAATTTAGGAGCTCTGAATGTCAAATTCCCAAATACTCTCTTAACCCTTCACTTGTTATTTTATCCTCAGAACTGACAAACATCTGAAATGTGCTGTGCAGGACTGTTAAACCTTTTCAATCAGAAGTTGAGCACGCTGGTAGAAACTCTGGCTGGAGAAGGTAACTCCTGAAGGGATAAGGTGGTACCAAAGAGGGGAAGCATCAGGCCTCTGCATCAGGACAGACCTCAGCCTATGTCATGTGTGAAGCAGAAGTCAAAGCTCCTAGCCCTGAACACTTGCCACTCAAAATCTACCTGTCGAGTGGATTCTGTATCCAAGCCCTAGCTTATTGACCTTTGGTTTAGCCTGCAGCCAGGAGAACTTCACACAGCAACAAAATATTTCCCCAAAACCCTGAGGAAAAAAGAGGTTCATGTTATCTTGTATTGGTCTTACAAACCTTCATATCCAAGACCTGACAAATTAAAACAAAGAGAGAAAAGAAAGGAGGAAAAAATAAGAGAGAATATCCAGTCAAAATTAGTAACAACAGGTTGTTTAACTCCAATTTGATATGGTAAAACACATACCTTTAGTGGTCCAACTTGTATCTGACCTGCCTCTTTTTCCACAGGAATTTCACAGCTGACAGCGAGCAACTCAGCCTGAATAACCTTGCATAACTGAAGCACTGCTGAGCCAATGGCCACTGGCTGAGGGCAGAAAAAGAATCCATTTTGCAAGATTTCTGTCAGGTTTAAAGAACTAAGGGCCTATTGTGAAATGAAAACCTTCTGGGAAGCTGTGGTCAGCCACTCACCCTTCCCACTCCTATACTATTAGTGGTACAAATGAGGATTTGTAGGAAAGTTTCTCTCAGTTTCTATTTCAAGTATCACTAAGAAAACAGTAAGGAAAATTATTCCAGTTCCTACAGTAAACAGTTCCAGGTTAACACAAAAATGAACATCCCAAATCCTAGTCAATGAGCAGAATTGCTATATGTAAAGTAGCAATTATTCATCCACTAAAAGCAAAGCTCCAATTAGAACAGATAGGCAGATATCCTTGGTGGTGATTAAAACAGAACATGAGCAGAGTTACCACCTCTCACTGACTTCATTACATGCAGATGATTATACAAATATTATTAGTCAAAAGAAAGATACCTTTTTTCCCCCCTTCAAATGCAAGTTACAGCAGTTTCTCACACTTCATATTATTCTCCTTACCCTGGTCAGAGTAATGATTTTAAGGTCATCCACATTAACTCACTCTATATGGTTAAACGAGCCATGTTCTCATTGAAAATTAACGCTTGTAATTGATCCAATATGCTTAAGTAGCAAGAGATCACTTTTAAAGATTGGGGAAGGAGAATTTTTTTTTGCCTGTCAGTTTTGAATTCAGAAAATTATTTAGTTGGATTATAAGACTGAACAGCATTGGTTCAACCTACAGTATCTGCACATAATGTCGTTACTCTTCATAATATCTGGCAAGGGTTGATTAAGTGGCTCGGTCAAGCCACATTACTTTGTTTTGCCTCTGATGGTTGAGATGGCAGCAACTGCAACAAAGCACTACAGAAGACTTAGAAAAGCCACTGCTACCTGTGTAACTATTTGAAAGAAATCAAAATGTAAAGACTTTCTTTGCTTTCCAATACACACAAAGCATAAACAACTTGCAAGAAGTACCTTTTTCTGTGTGCTTTTTCTCATGTAGATTTTAAAAGCAAGGTCAGAGCTCCACCAGTGATCTATCATTGTTCCACCGAAACGGACAGGGAACACAAAGCGCTGCTGAAATTTCACCACTGCAAGGAAGACAGAGACTTGTGAGCTCTTAACTAGATTCAGAGCTAATATGTCTCTTGAGCTTGATCAGGAACAGAGAAATCTTCAGTCTCTGCAGAGAACATGCAGTGTGAGTAGAGACACATGAAGTTCAGAAGGTATGAGGAGAAAGTGATGGCACTTCTGAGAAGGGTGGACAAGCACACAGAGAGCATTTGCACATCTGCCAGAATCAGAGATCAAGCAAGGCTGGGAGCTGCATGGGGAAGGGCTGTTGCTGGAATCCTCAACAAAAATATTTTGAGGTTTCAACCTATTAAATTATGTTACAACTCTGCAGGTAATTTACTACTTTTAACTTTGTTGCTCACAGGAGTAACAAATATTCAGAATTAACTGAATATAAATAAACTTATCCCTGCAGATTGCTCTGTTACACACATAATAATTTAATTTTGCATGATGTATTAACACCAAGCCCAAAATAAACTGCTGGTTTCCAAGGCCAGAAAAAAGGCAAGAGGGCAGCACAACAAAACTAATGTTCTAACAGCACCTGAAGGCTGCAGTTGATAACCAAATCTCTGTTATCCTAGTGCACAGTAAGACTTTCCCTTCTTCCTTGTCTCATTTTAAGCAATATATTTCGAGACATATCTTAAGAGAGTCAAAGCTAAGCTGCAAGAATAATCACAGCTTCAGGAGAAAAGTAAAGTCTGCAAGAAAAGACTGAATGAATTGGTGTTTAGTCTAGAAAAGAGAAGAATAAGGAGAAGTACAACAGTAGCATGAAGTAGAATACTACTAAAAGTACTACGCTTTGCATGTTTACAATGTAAAAAGTAAGGATTTGTGATGGCAAAACTCAGGTTAGAAATTTTCCAACAGGAAGAACAGCACTGTCACAGCTTGCCTGGGGAGGCTATGGCATCTCTCCCATTGAGCATCTTTAATAAATGAGATAATCAGCTCTCAAGAAAGATAACGGTACACTGGATTGACCATATGGCTTCTTCAAATTATTTTCAGCCCTATCTCTTTTTCCAGGTTCCAAAGAGCTGGAATCTAACCACTCAGGACGAAGTGCAGAAGGCTCTATTATTTTTGTATTACAGAGTTGAGGTTCAGAAGAATTTGATGTTTTGTTTTAACACAAATGGAGAATACAAAAGAGAACTCAGAACTACCCCCAGATCTCTCAAGTGCCACCCAGAAAGACACAAAGCCAATGAATGACCATCTGGGAAAGGCATTGGAAAGTCACCCTGGAATTCCAGTTTCTGGGAAGACTGCGCAGAGAGGATCTTGCTCATACAGCATTCTCTGCTGACTGAGGAGAGAAATGCAACGTAAATTGTTCCCAGGGATACCAATCCTGGTGACTCTCAGGAAAGAGATTAGTGTCCACTGACTTGAGCACAGGATTCAAGATCTCTTGGATCCAGCAGACTTTTTGAGCTCTTGCAGATGTCACATGACACACATCAGCATCTGGAAAAATTTAATTGAGATAGAAGTATCTCTGATATTTCTAAAAGTACTTTATCATCTTCACACTATTGCACAAAGGACAGTGAGTTTATGCTGAAATGAAGGACTGGGCTTGCTATTATGTCCCTAGGAAAAGAAAGCAGAAAATCCTAATAGGAATACTTCTTGGAAGCAGAAAAAAATCACTTGACTTCCTTTTCCATGAAAGAACCAATCCAGTACCTGCAGTGCAGCAACTCTGGTGGCAGAGGAGCCACTAATCATGCTGTATTTTTCAAGCAGCAAAGAAAATACATGGGAAATGCTAGTAAATAGTTTCTAAGAGATGAAGGAGTCAACCAGGTTAAATACAAAGGGGAAAAACAATGCCCTTACCATCATCTGTGATTTTACTTGAAGCTACTTTAATTACTTCTGTTGTTATGGAGACCTGTCCCTTTTCATTCTTGGAGGCTCCCAGAGGAAAGTGATACTCAACAAAGAAGGTACTATGAATAAAAAAGTGAACAGGCGATCAATATCCATCAAAAATGCAATGTACATAATGAAACTGAACATAGCAGATCTCCCTTACCACTTATTCACCAACGCAGGCCTTGGAGGCTTCCCCATTAAACCTTTCTTTCTTGGTGTAATCTGGATGCTCTCAGGAGGGATTTTCAAGCTTTCAATGATGACTCTGGCCAGGTGTATTTGTCCCAGCAATGCCAACCTGTCTGCACTCAAAGATGTGTCATGAGCTGCTTCTGTGTGATCTTCTGGAGGAGCAAGTGGTCCAGTAGGAGAGCAGCTGAAGAGATAAAACCAAGAATCAGGACTACATGAACATTCTTAGCACAACCACATGAAGGGAAAATTGTAGCTTGGTGGGATATTACTTAAAAAATATTCACAGATCATCAAAACCCACACTTTAAACTGTATTTTTTACAACAAATTTGGTGGCCTCCATAACAGAAATCTTACAATACACGGTATCTCAGGTATATAATTGAAGAGGAAAAAAAGCAACACTTCATATTATTGAAGTTTTGAAAAAAAACTCATATGCAGCCTAACTCTTGAAAAAAGAAAAGCTTCGTTTAATACATACAAAAAAGGAAAAGATACAGTTATACACGTTTTATTGGTTTATTTTATTGTTTTATTGGTTCTGTCCTGGAAAAAAAGGGAATACAATCTAGATCAAGCCAGAACAGAAGTTTCTTTACCCCAGCTATAGCAGAGAACACAAATCAGCAGAGAAACAGACTCTGCTGATAAGAACTCTGCCCCTGTAAAGCAGATACTAATTTTATACACTTAGAGACGTTGTGCAAAGACAGATGATGGGACATCGGTTATTTCCTTTCTATTATATCTGTTAGATACACAAGGCCACAGAACTGCATAAAGCTGGTCTGGAGTCTGCTTTATTCAGCACAGAGACTAATTTATCATGAAGGTTACACAGTGATTATTGTTTCAGGAGATGGGGCGAGAGTTCAGTCAAGAAGTGAGCTCAGACCTTAGCATTTCTGCTTCCACAGTTCAAAACATTAATACTAGGCTTATTGCATTTTAACTAATCACATTTCAGTAGTTTCTTTACAACATATAACAGCAATTAAATGCTTTCACGGCATTCCTGGGTGATGCTGATTCTTTGGCATTCCCAGAGGTGCTATACAAATTCCCCACCAAAAAGGTTATTCAGTGAATTGTGTGATAATGATGGAGCACGGTAAAAGTGTGATTCTTGCTAATACTAACTTACAATGAGCAAGATGCTGCCAAATGAGTCATTAATGTAACTATTTACCCGAGTTTAATTTCTGTCACTTTCTGATCCTGACTGAAGGCATTAGAATCCTTCTGTGGATTCATTGGATCAGCTTTCTTGAGAGTTTCTGTCTTGGTTACTTTTTTGGAGGTGTTAACATCATCATCACTGAGGAGATCGCTTAAACTGGAATCAGATTTCTGAAACACAAATAATGCACATAAAATATGTTAACTATCATAGTCAAGAAAAGATACACAATGGTCACAGTATATAATGAAAAAAGAAAAACAACTTGTGGATTGCATAATTCAAAACAATTAAAACTGTATCAAAATTTTTCAGATGTTTAAAAAATAAGTCTTCACAGACAGGCTTAATCCTAGCAAATTCCAAATTCAGTGCTTGACTTTGTAGTCTTAATAGTATCCTTTTAATAATAATAATTTTAAGCAATGTTCTCACTTAATGCTTATTAAGCCTCACTAATACTGAAATCTGTAGTCTTTTTTTCTTGATGGAGACTTCAGGTTTTCTTCACTGTAGGGACTACACATATGAAGCACCTTTGTTTTGATCTCCACTTACAGGAGCCGTGTAAAAAAGTCTCTCTAGCAGACTCTGGTCATAAAGTGGATCATTGAGTTCACTGTCATACACCTCACTCCCGAGAGACACAGAATCCAAAAGGGAACCAGTCCGATCCCAGAAATGCACAGGAGATAAATCAGCACTGTGGACAAAAGAGAAAGAAACATAACTTAGTATTGCAACATCTGCAGACAATGTGTCATGAGTTCTGACAATACTGCATATGCCATACTGAATTTGTTCTATATTGGCTCCAGATACAGCCAAACTGTGCTTACATATCACTGTGCTCAACCTAATACATGTTTGTGACCCAACCTGATGGGTTATCTTGTGATAGTATCTCTGGATCCAACATGAAAACAATGTGTGTGAATATCTATCCCTAGAATCACAGAAGAGCTGAGGTTGGAAGTGACCTCTGGAGACTGTTTATTTCAATACCTGCTCAAAGGTAGAGGATGCAAATAATAAAACTGTCCAGTCAGATTTTGAGTATCTCCAAAGCTGGAGATTTCACAACCTCTTTGCGTAACCTGGCCCAGTGCTGTCTCATCTTAAAATATATCTGCCTATCATATTTATCCATAAACACTTTATATATCACCAATACTTAAGGACAGTTTATTTTAAAAAAAAAGGGGTTTGTTTGGTGCTAAGTGTTTTCTATCTGTGTTGCGCGTTCAAAACCATTTTATGATCTGCAAACACTTCACTGCTATCCAGTGATAAACCACAGGGCAAAAATAAGAGCAGGGCACAGGACATATGAACTGAAATTCTGAACCGTATCTGTCACAGAAGCTGTATGCTTCATACTCCTGATTCGGACACAGACAATGTAAGCATCATTTATGCTCTTGCTACAGAAAATGAAAGAAAAAGGCCAATTTAATATTTAGAGAAAGATTAAAAATCACTATTGGTTCTATTTTTAATTTACAGACTGCAAGTTATTAAAAGAAACCCTGTATTTGTTTTATGCACTCCTTAGCATTTTAAGACACAGTTGTTACAACTATTAAAAAACTTAATTTTATCAAAGATCATGGTTAATCTTTCTGACATCACTTTCCTGACATTACTTTGATGTGACTTTGAGCTATCCAGGTTGTCATGCATTAAAGTTTAGTGCAAGCTGAGGTATAAAACACCTCCATGGTTCATTTCCAGAAACACGGAGAAGCCGAAGAGTCGAGAGACATTTTTCAGTATAAAGTGGTCAAATAAGGACAATTTTGCATTACACTCACCTGCCCAACAGTAACTGTATTGCTGTCTCTTCAGAGTTTAGGTCAAATTGCTGACCTGAAACTTCAGATGTGAAGAGCTGGGGATCTTCAGGAGTAGGCACAAAATTTGAGTTCAGGCCTTTCGGGCTCCTGGACAACAGTGATTACAACACATAGAGCAGTAAAAGGAAAAAGAAAGACATAAAGGCACATTCAAGATTAATCCATCAAAGAAAAAATTCAAAGGTTATGTACAGTTTTCTCCAGTTTGTAGCTTAATCTCTAGCTACACAAAAAAATTCTGCGATCCTGCAGTCTGCTGCAAGTCACATCCAAAACCTTGTACTTTGCAATGTGCCACAGAATCATGGAAACATTTAGGTTGGAAAAGACCTTTAAGATCATCGAGTCTAACCATCAAGGTTGGCCCAATCTTGCAGTTTAAGCACAGCTGCTGCAAACAAGAAGAGAAAGGACCTGGAAAGACAAGCAAGGTGCTTATGAAGGATGGTCTACCCATTTTTCCTAGGAAGTCCAAAATCATCTACTTTTAAACAAATTCAAATACTTTGAGAAGAAATAATTTAAATTGTGTTTGCAACTGCATCATTGACTGTCAAAGACAATGACATTATTTTATAGCGAAACAAAAGGCATCGTTAATCAAGGAACTGAAGTTTCTCCTGTAAAAAACATGCATGTGCCTTAATACCTCTAAATTTCATTTTCACTGAACTCAGAACATTTACTAAGCCTTATACTGAACGAAGTTGGAGTTAGAATTTGAAAAGGCACAAACACATTTTATATTCAGTCTGCTAAGAAAGATCACATGGAAGAAGATAACAACTACTAGTTCTGAGAACACAGTTATAGATGCAAATTTTCACACGTATTTTGGCACCAAGAGAGGCAAACTAGAATGTGCAAATGTACTTGATTTATGTCACTAATTACTTGTATTTCTTTGAAAACCTGTTCTCAGTGATGAAGGACCATTTCATTTGCTGTGTTCCTTACATTACTCTTATTCCTTATCAACATTTAATATTTCCTTATCAAATAACTCTGTACTAAATACAAATATACTGCAAAACAAAATTAAAATCAAAGACGTAAATCAAGGCTTACTACATGATGATTAAAATAAATTCCCAAAATTTAGGCTTTTATTCGCAAGTAGAAATTAATTTTCCATTTGAATGAGAATCCTCAAATACATCACATGAATCTTAGTATTTAAAGTTTTCCCAATAAGACCTCAAAATTAATGATTTAGAACTTAATCTCACTTCCCCCTTCTCCAAACTCACTTCACTGTTGCTCTGAAATCATCTCCTTCTATAAAAGCAGGCACTTCATTCAGTTCAATCTCCATGTCCGGGCTAGACTTCATCACAGAAACAACCATGGCATCACGGAGTTTATTGCCTTGATCCAAAAGAGCTGTGAAATATGCAGAAGAATTAAGTCTTAGCATTTAAATGCAATTTAAAAGCAATTTGTAAACACAGTAAATGTGCCAGCTACAGTCAAGAAACTTGTGTTTTCCACTGTTACAAAGAGATCCTGACATACTGGAGATTAAGTGCATGCTATACACCATAAAACAGACAGCACAGATGGGAATTAGTGAGAGAAATCTTCTATTAGTCTCCCACTCAGAGCTGTACAAACTCATCTGCACAGGAGTCAGGCATTAGAGGGGCATTATTAAGAAACAGCAGCAAGATTAATTTATGGAAGAGTAGCTTGTCACCATTTTATGTCTTCCTTGTAAATATAAAAAATAACTCAACAGACAACACATGTGGAAATGTGTCCTACCATATGCTCCTTTGAATCCAGTCCAGGTTGTCTGTGATCTAAAAGGGATGCTAACTGGCAGGTGATGGAAAAGAAATTATTTTCCATATGAAAATGTTGATGGCATAGACATCCCAAGACCTAATTGAATGTGAGTGGCACCTTTGATGGCCATGTTGGAAGACACGTCAATGATTAAACAGCCTGTGAAGCTGAACTGCCTTTTCTTTTACCCCTCCAGGTCAGAGCTCACGCACACTGCTGGGGCAGCATGTTTTGCCTGATCTGGATATTCAAGCCACCTTCTAACAAGGCTAAATCAGTACTTTTTAAGTAGAGACATTTTTGTTATAATTTTCTGTTTGAAATAATACAATACGAGCTTGCGAAGTATCATCTTTGCTTGAGTCTGTATCTCTAGACAGGCACCTGAAATATCATGAAGAACTATTTATTGTGAAATCTAAAAGATTATGTCAATGGTATACAAACCTGAAAGCAGATCTTCTGTAGCTGGGTTATGCAAAGAGAACACCCGCATGTTTGTTCCAGCAGGTGTTTCAGGATCAGTGCTGGTGGGAAACGACACTTGCCTCTTTGAAGTATTCCCTTTCAAATGCTCATCTGGTAAAATCTGATGGTGATGAGAAGCAGAAAAAGTGTCCTTTATGTTTTCAACATTCTCTTGACATAATAAGTGGTCCTTTCCTCTATTGAAAAATGAAACATTATTTCAGTAAGAACTGAAGTGGATTGGTAAAGGGATTCAAACCTCTTCAAATTCTCCATAGCACTGCAGCTGCTCCCCTTCAGTACGTGCTCCAAAAGGAAATGCAACACATTATTTTAATGACTCATCTTCCACTCATACCATTGGAGAGACCAACTCAAGCTGTAAATAAAAGTTTTGCGGCACCTCTTGTGTCAATTAGCATAGTTTGAACTAAGTCAACATAGGACGCAAATTTATATCAGATGAGAAGCTGTCCCTATAAGATCTGAAATGCTGAATGTTCTGGATTTCATATAAAAGGCACATTCAGAAGGATTAAGTATTCCATAACTCACAAGTGTACAGCCATTGCTTAGAAAAAAGTGTGTGAACTGCAAAATAAACCAGAATTTTGTTACGAGGAATTAAAAAAAAGATACCTGGGAGCTGTGGCTTTGCTATTGTTAACGGACTCTTGGTCAGCAATAGTCACCAGTGTTTGCCTGGATTGCTGTGAGGGAGCAAGAAACTGGGGCTTGCTGCTTCCCTGAGCAGGAGTGGTTTCTAAACTTGCATCTGCAGCTGGGATAATGCTGCTGGTGTCATACCGTTCTGGCAGAGGTTCTAGGACTAGTGAGACCTGAAAGGCAGAATGTGAAAATAGTATTTCGTTTTTTTCTCAATTAAGTGCAACACACACTCTATTCAGTTCTGTATTTCACACTATGGAAAACTGTTGCTTTTTTATATAAAGTAATATTTATATCATACACTTATGTAGTATTGTAAAACTCTGACATATTTACAACTACTTATTTCACATTCCATGTTTTCAAATCATAGGCAACTATCTTTCAGCATAAATTGTCCAGAGCCAGGACTGCAAAACAGAATGTCAACTTCTTAATCCCAAATTTCAAAATCTTTTACAATTTCAATCCAGTGAGGCTGTGGAGAAGTGTTAGAACTGATTATCCATTTTTAAATCTGTTGTTAAAACTCACTCTCAGCACAGAGACTACAAATTTTCTTTATCAGGTTGAACTATCAATGCCACACATCCTTTCAGAAACAGAGTAACACTGTCAGTATCCATTTTTCATTTGCTGCTTTAGTTCACGAATGCATTGGACCAGGTCTGCAGTGTACATTGAGCTATGCTTATACTAGTAAGTATTACAGCAATGCAATTTAGAATAAAAATTATTATAACAAAGATGATAAACAATTATAATAAAAATATTTTAAATCACAATAAAAGTATACTGAAAATTATACTTAAAAAAGAAATAAAGACTACCTGCATCTCTCCTAGTTTATTGGATGTTGGTGAAACTATGGTGAAAAACCCACTGATTGGATGGCTGGGAGAGAGCTGGGACAGTTTGGTGATTTGCACTCTGCCAATTGGAAGATGGTCAAGTTTGGTCACTACCTCCAGCACCAGCGCACCCATATCTGCAAAAGTCAGGAACAGCTTCAGTTCAGTCCAACACAACACAGTCAAAAAGAAACACAACTAAACCTTTTCTGTTAAAATGACAGGGATGCTAGAGGTGAACATAGTGTCACATCATGAAATGATGAAAACGAGGCAGCAGGTAAAGATGTGTTATACTGATAATAAATTATAATAAATAAGTACAAGACTACCACAGAAGGACTACTTATGAAAGGATGAAGGGTAATGATTTTAAGCTGAAAGATGGTAGATTTAGAGTAAATACAAAAAAGAAATTCTTCACTCTGAGGATAGTGAGACCCTGGCACAGGTTGCCCAGGGAAGTTGTGGATGCCCCCTTCCTGGAAGTATTCAAGGTCAGGTTGGATGAGGCTTTGAGCAGCCTGGGCTGGTGGGAAGGGACACTGCCCATGGAGAGAATGCCCAAACCTTTCTGTGATTCTCTGAGTAGCAACAGGGGGTACAGGTTTTACAGACAGACTCTAGACTCAGAGTTGCACTAACTTTCTGCACATCTTTCAGTAAATTAAGTATCTTAATGACAAGTATTTCTAGATTCTCTTAGAACACTGAAACACATCTTTAATATTATATGCATAACACTAAGAAGTTATGTGATCTTGAATCTGCGGGAGTTACAGGAGACTCCAATAGTTTGTAGACCTGACTACTAGAGAAACTGATGCCAGCAATTCTAGGCTGAGATCAAAGGCTTTCCAAATCAGGAAAACAATCTAAAAAAGGCATAAGTGAAAACAGGACTGGGTTACTTGGCAGGTAAAGAACTCCATGGACTTCATGGTGTCCTGGTTTAGTGGGACAGAATATTAAAATCAGTTTTCTGTTGAGGAAAACTGCAATTCTGTAAGGACTACAACACACTATTTCATGGTAACAAAGTGATTTCAGCTAATACTGGTATGTAGGTTGCCATAGTGCTCAAGGTCAAGGTCGTGAGGTAAACAGGTGTAGAGGCTGTGGAGAGCGAAAACCTACAGGAGCCGACCCCAAGGTGACCAATTAATACTATTCATACCAGAAACATCACATACACTATCAGCTGGGGAGTTTGCTGGGGATGGCTCTTCTGCCTCTTTCTCCTTCTCCTTCTCCATCTCTGCTCTTCCATGGCTGACATCTCAAGAGGAACTTGTTTACCATTCCAACCTTGAGGCCTAATCCCCCACAATATTGACTGAGTATAACTTTGTGTATTTTATATGATAATGGTATTAATATTAGCTTTTATTATTATTATTTTATGAAATATACTTCTGTTTCAACCCACAAATCTCCTTTCCTTTTCCTGATCCTCCTTGCTGGGTGGGGAGGAAGTATCGGGAGATAGAGCAACTGTATAACGCACAACACCCAGGTCTCCCCGCTGACCAGGGCAAAGCAGCTCTACCTGTCAAGTAGGCAGCGAACTGCTTGGGCCCGCAGTGGACAGCATAGCGGGCAGTGGTTCTCCCCGCCGGCTGCCCCGCTCGGGAAGCGGGCTGGAATACAGTGCCGTCGGAGGTCTCGCCCCACCACCTTAGGCGGACGAAGGTGGACGGAGGCGGCTTGGGGGCCGTCCACAGGATTCGGGAGACGGTGCAGCGAAGGAAGCAGCGCAGTGGGCCCTCCACAAGCGGCGGCAGGCTGGTGGAAGCGGGGATGTCGCCGACACCTGCGGGAACGAAGGACCGAGGGGTGTCAGCGGCCGGCGCCGGGCTGAGACGCGCTCCCAACCGTCCCAGCCGCCCTCGCTCCCACCCCCGAAGCCTGAGGATCC